TACTTTGCAGTATATTGGCAATTTAACTACACACTTAAATAAATCAATTAGTCACTCAAATGTGTTTTGTAATCATCAAAATCATAGGTACAACATGAAACATAGTACTACCAAATACTAAGTAAAGATGATGAGGAAAAATGGAAGCCTGAGATTGAATGTATTTCTAAATTATTGTTTGACTTTTACAATGAATATGTAATGGAGAACAGCTCTAGTACTAGTAAGGAAGGTACAATAACAACATATTCTACATGTACCAGCAACAAAAGCATGATGTTAAGCCAATTACAAGGTTGTACTCCCATCAAGGTAAATTTATGTGGGTTTTTTTTTTATTTGTTCCTCTTAATTTTCCTTCATTTTTTTTCTATGTTTGTATAGTTTTTTCTTACACTTTTGTTTCTATGTTCTTGTAGTTTTTAGTATATTTCTTAGCACATTTTTGCTACCATTTTTGTGATGTAGCACTTCATTTTTGCTATTTTATGGTTTAGTCGTTGACTTTTCTAATTGTTGCTTATTGTTTCTTGCACTTTTGTTGTTATGTTTCTGCAGTTTTAGTCTATTTTTCTACTCATTTTTTCTGTCATTTTTATGGTGTAAAACTTTGTTTCTACTATTTTATGGTTTGGAGGCTCCTATTTAATGTAGGATTTTCAAAACTTTAATGTGTAAAAGATTCATACATCTATATTACAACAATGTTTGGAGGAGGGAAGGCTTGCTTTAGAGCAGGATTTGGATGTCCTTACTTATTGGTCTGATAATGAAAAACGTTTTCCTAACTTGTCTAGGATGGTAAGAGACATCTTAACAATTCCGATTACCATAATAACTTCTAAATCTACATTTAGCATGGGTGGGAGAATTATAAGCAAATCGAGGGGATCTCTTTTACCTCAAAATGCAAAACCTTTGCTACAACTCGAACTTGGTTGAATGCATTTGGAAAGGAAGGAAGGTAATATGGTTCTTTTTTTCTTGTTCATTGAATGTACTTATTTTAAATTTGTAATTAAAGATGATTGCATTAAGAATGACTAATTTTAACCATGTACTAACTTTTTTAAAAGCAGATATTGAAAGTGAGGAGGTAGGATGTGAATTTTGTTTAGACTTAAACATTATAAGTATGACTTCTTTTCCTCCTACTAGTGAGCTTGGAAGAGCAGAACCATCTCAAAGACAAACTTTTACCATTTCAGAAGGTGAAAAAGATACCTCTTGAGGTAACTTTTATTAACTTAAAATCTCAAAGAGCATAAAACTTCTGTATTGTCAACAATGAGTTTTTTTCTTGACATTGAATTTTTTTATTTTGCCAAATGTCACTATGAATTTCTTAACCTGCTAAGTTTCTAATCATATTAATTTTTTTACTCAAAGCACATTTAGGTTGGACAGCTTTGGTATTTCATAGCTTGTTTGTTCTCCAACCAACCTGTTTTTGTCTCTTATTTTTGTGTCTTGAGTCCTGCATAAGCACTTGGGAGTTGTTACTTGGTAGGCTTTTGTTTTCTCAATACTTGGTAAATACTTGGTAGTTAACTAGTTATAGTTGGTACTTGGTTGATAGCTTTCTATTTTTGGATAGCTTTGGCAATTGGCACCATGAACTTTGTGAATTTTCTTTTCTCTTTTGTTCCTAAATCATTATTAGTACTTGATAGCCTTCTTTGTACAATTTTGGCACTATGAACTTTGTATATTGATAATGTTAACTTTTGCATCAATGATCAAACTATGCATCAAGGATTGAAGTCATTGCTCATTTTTCTTTTCTTTTCATGTTTTATGTCATGTTGAAAGAATGAGCCAATTGAATTTCAAAGGCTATTGTTGGTAGTGTCATGAGATCTCTACTCTACTCGTCCGATTGTGCCTACTTATTGCTCAGCCAATTTATGTGAAACTTGGTGTTTGAATGTTAATTCTTTAATTGTGAAACCATCCAAAATAATTTGAATGGTAATAGGTATAGACTACAGAGGAAAAGAAAAAAAACTTAGTTTGGTCAACCCTATGACCCATGCCTTATGACTCATGATGAATATGTTAGGGTCAGCCTTAATTGACCTGTAACTCATTTTAACCACACTTATTCTAACCTATGACTTGCTTTGACTCGACCCTAACCCGACCCAACCTGCTTGCTTGCTAGGTTTAATTGAGACTTTCCACAACAACCTATTTAACAAGTTTAATTGAGACTTTCCACAACAACCTATTTAACAAGAAGTTAACTTATTAATGACTAAAAAGGTACCAAAATTCTATGTGTAAAAACTATTTAGATGCTTTTAAAAGTTTAGAGACTTAAATTGACTAAAAATATTTAAAATGTACGGACCACATTTTGTTTTTGAATTCTTCTATCCCGTGCCTTGGTGCAATTTTCTTTTGAGCACTAGTCTTGGTGCAATAAATCACTAGTTTACAATTAATTTACAAAAAAATGATAAAAGTTAGTTTGAATTTAATTAATTAACTAATTAAAATTATTTATATGACAATAACACTAAAATAAAAGTCAACTTTTGTTTTTTACTCCATTTATTTTTATGACAAGACAAATCCATTTTATAGTATTTTATTTTAAATTTAATTAGAGTTAAATGTAATTTATAATTTACTTTTTAAAATTAATTTCATTAACTTATGAATCAAGGGGACACACTGCTGACCAATAAAACAGGGACCCACTAGAGTAATTTTTAAGGCATGAATTGAATGGCAATGCCAACTATTTAAATTTTCATATAATTTCTATGTAATATTTAAAATGAAGGAAACTAAATTTTTTTAGACAAAAAAAGTTAGCTAATTTACTCATTACTTATAACTAACAAAAGAACAAAATTGGTATGGAAAAAAAATCCTAGATTTTGTAAAAATTAGAGTTAATTTATTTTATTTTATTTTAAGAGAAAAGAAAAAATCAAAGACATCCTAATAATTAAAATAATAGAATTGACTACAAAACTATTTAAATACCCTTTAATGAATTTTTCTTACATATTGATTTATTAAAGCTATTTAAATATTTTTAATATCAGTCCTAATATTTTAATTACCAAAACATTCTATTTTTTTGAATTCCCTATTTTAAATTTAATAAGAGTTAAATGATAGAGGACTAATTTAGTACTTTTTAAAGTTTATGGACCATTTTAGTCTACAACTGAAAGTTTAAGACCAAATTTGGCAATTTAACTTTTAAGCCTGAGACACTTTACCGTTACCCCGTTCAGATATTAACCCACTGAGTCACCGACTTCTTATATATCCTTTGTGTGTCCAGTTTCTCTTCAATATTCAGCTGTGTTTATTTTCCACGGCGATATGGCGGAGCAGGTAATCAATGGCGTTCCTCAACCACCGTTTCTGCCTCCAGGCTATCGCTTCCACCCTACTAGTTCCGAACTCTTCCGGTATTATCTCTACGACAGAGTCACGAAGGGTTCTTGCCAGTGGAACATCGTCTCTGATACCGATATCCTTGCTGTACCGCCATGGCATCTCCCAGGTTTCTCTACTTCTCTTTTGTGTTTCTTGATGTCTTTTCATTTTTTATTCTCGTTTTCTAACATGGGTTCAAGCTTCCTTGGAGTTTCTTGATGTTCTTTCGTTTTCTTCTTGAGTTTTCTGTCATGGGTTAATTTTAAGGTTTTTTTCGCGTTTCTTGATGTCGAATTCGTTTTCCTTCTTGAGTTTTCCGATGGGTTTAAGGTCTTCTCCAGTTTCTTGATGTCCTTTCGTTTCTTTCTTGAGTTTTCTGACATGGGTTTAAAGGTTTTCACTGGTTTCGTAACGAACCTGTATAGAAGAAAATTTTTCTTGCACGCCCTAATTTCATGATACATGTTGACATTGTATATGGTTCGATTTCAAAAGATGTAATGTAACTTTAGGGTTACTTTGGATGATATCTAGTTATTTATATATCTGATGTGTTTGATTTATGATATTTTTTTTGCCCTACTCTCTGAATTTGTTTGGTTAATTTCCAACGAGAAATTTTGGGTATTACAGGAATGGACTCGAATGAAAACGAGGGTTATTACTTTTATGAAAGGGAAAGGAAATCGAAGTCTGCCGGTTCCAAGGGGAACAATAGGATTATAAAGGTCGACAAACAAGCTTTCTGGAAAGTGAATTTTAGTGATGATGTTTGGGAAGAAGGGATGTTGTGGGGAAAGAAGAACACTCTGAACTATTTCAATGGGCCTAATGCGAAAACCGACTGGTTGATGTATGAATTTGTTTTGGATCCATCGCTTGCTGAAGGGAATGATGGTAATGTTGTCCTCTGTAAGGTCTACAAGAAGAAAGATTCCAAGGAGGGGAAACGGGGGCGAGGTCTAAAGGGAAGCAACATTAAGGAAAAGGGAAAGAGTTGTCTGCAGGGAAGTTCCGATGGTGTAGCGGAGATTGAGCCTCTTCATGACATTAATTCTGGACAAGCTCTCAAGCGGAGAAGGATAATGAATGCTTGCTTTCCACAGCTAAACCAAAAGACTCAATTTGCAGTTGGTGCGTTGTCTTCAGCAGCTTCTCCCTACATCGAGGAGACACATCATTCAGAAGCTGCTATACAGCCATCTTTCTCAACTGAGCCCCACACTGAGGGCATTCATCCAGCAGAAGTCGCTACATCAAGCACGATAAATCACTGTATATATGCTGCACCAGTTGATGATCCTAAACTATATTACCAGCCTCCTGCTGCATTTGATTCAGCTAAGCCCTACATTGAGGCGACTCATCCAGCAGCCGTTGAACCATGTACGATCAATCACTCTTCATCACTTGCAGAACCGTGCATGATCAGTTACTCTTCTCCTGCAGAACCATGCACCATTGCTGCATCTTCATCGAACAGTATTGCACCAACTGATGATCGTAATGTGCATTACACAGAGACTGAATGGGAGCAGGAGATTCAACAATATCTGAGTTTTGATTCAACTAATCAGTTCAATGACTGTGATGAGTTCGACGAAGAATATTTTGCCCCATTTTTCAATATATAGCAAGCTTGCATCATGCTTAGTCAGAGAAGTATATAGATGATTGCTCTTGATGTATGCATGGACATACTTTCCCCATGCAAATTTTTGATCTTGATGTGTTTATCCATGTTAATTTCAATAGATTCGTATTTTTGTTTTAGTTATTTGGTCCCTGCTTTTTTGTAATTTTGTTGGATTTTGAATATTCATGTATAGATCATTGTTTTTCCGCTTATTGATGAGTTCTGCAGAGATAAGAAAATACTGTATATATTATTAACATTCAACTTCAACAATGCTATATGCTAGGAATGGGAGTCAAAAGTCACAAGTGAACTTTACAACGTGCAATATCAGAGATACAATGAATCATAGAATAGTAATGTACAGTAAAGGAATCCAACAAGTGGATACGTAACAAATCACTCCTCGCCTATGTAGAAAAAGGTGCCTAAAAAGGAAATAATGGCAAGCTATTAATAGTTAATGATCTCTTTTGCTCAACATGTTTCCATCATCCGTTTGTTGCTTTCATCACTAGCGTATGGTTCGACAAATTTGGCCTAAATCCATCCATCAAACAATGACAAGAAAGTTGAATTAGACCTGAAACTGAATAATTAGAATCAGCATCCCTAGCCTAAACAAGATATTGTGTAAATTCAGAAACTTTACCTGAGCATTTTCGGTTTTGTGCTCTTGGACTTCATCTTGGGCTATGGGCACATATAAGCCTATACATATAGAAAACAAAAGTTATAACCAAGTTATAAGATTATTGTGTATGTACATATCTATCCACGCACAACATGGGGACACAACGCGGCATCTAAATGGACCACAACAGAACCCCAAAACACAGAAACAGATGCACGCTTTATCTAAACTTTTTCCATGAAGTTGATCTCCCCCTAAACACTGCAAGTTGGTTATTTCTTGAAGGAACTCCTTTGCCGTATCATGAACTGCTTCAAGCTGCAGTTCTGAATCTTTTAGAAACAACAAACTGATAGGCAGCATAGGTAATAACTTCTAGAGGTACTAATTGCAGTAAAAAAGTCGAAAGAAAACCACTGGACCAGGTGCTATGTGCCCCATCTTTTCATTTATCATTTGAAGAGATAAGACTGCTTGGTATGGCCTTCTTATTAATTCATCTAGAAGGAAGTAAAACAGAGATGGCAGTCCTTCCCTTTAGAACTTTCAAGACTGTTTTAACTGTTGAACTAATCAGGATTCTACAACAAATAAAATTCTAGCCAGAAGTATTGCGTAAAACCAACTTGAAAAACACTAAAAGTATAAATTCTAGAAGAGGAATAGGAATTTACATGAGATGTTAGGTCATCTCTGTATCTTGGCGCAGAGTCCATAACATGATTTCTAAAAGCCACTTACAATTTACTAAGCTCATTGATGCTAAGGCATAAGCAATTGTAGTGCAAACCAGACAACAAACATAGCCACAATATTAGAACAGCAGACAATTGTTTTAGGGGAAAATAAGAAGAGATTCATAAACTGTTTGCAGAGTTAGTCAACTATTTCCAGGACTGTTTTGGCTGATTCTAATAGATGGTGAATCTGAATGTTCAGTAGCTTGATAATTAGTTAGCAAACAAATAACAATTTAAGTACAATGACAGAGTGCTTACATACCAAAGATTTTTCTCCAAAAATAGTATTAGCTATTAGGTAGTGGACATCCTCCCTCAATTGGCGGTTGTCTGTGTAATGGAAAAAGAAGGTAAAACCAGCTAATTTGAAAATAGCAAATACTAGAAAAATAGGAGACCTTAGGATCATTCTGAACCTGCATGATCGCCAGCAGAGATTTGCTTCATCAGAGTTAGAATTGCCTCTGTTGACAGAAATATGTCAAAAGGAAATTCATCAGCTATCACCCATCAGTTACAATTGTTAAACACCAAAAGTAAATGGCTAAACAATACTCTCTGAAGAATATTTGTCTGCAAAACAGTTGGCAATGTTGGAAAGAGAGAATGAAAAGAGTTGAACAACCACCATCAGCTGTTGGTTGTAGAGAAACCACAGGATGTTGGGAAAGCACCTACTTAACACATAAAACTGCCATTAGATATACAATGATACAAGGATACGCACACATTCTTGTTTCTAGGGCTATGATGCATGTATTTCCAAAAATCTAAGATCCTAGCATGATAAACACACACTCAAAACTAAATTTAAAAAATCTTAATTTAGGCCAAGAGAAAAGTGTTCTTAATCACTTTGGCATTTATTTGCTGACCTCCATAGCTACTGACTTGCTTGCTGTGACTCTTCTGTAGATTGGCGAAGAGCCAACCTAAAAACATAAGGTGAATGCCTACCCAACATGAAAAAGAGAAGGTAAGTATATGTTCAACATGAAAAAAGAAGAAATATTCATGATAGAATGATCTAGTCACCTTTTCTAGGTCAACATTCTCAAATATAATTTTAAAACGTCCTCTTTGCTGAACAACAGGAGGCCTCAATTTTTGTATTAAAAAAGAAAAAAAAAAAAGAGAGTAAAAAACCTCAAGCTAAGAGAAGCAACGAAAAAAAGATACATGATTTTGAATTAGGAAGATAACAATTACGAAAACACAAATAAGATGCTCACAGACCAAGAAAAGAGTAAGAAGTTACAAGAGGAGCTCTTAAGTGGACCTAAGGGCAATAATCATAAAATGCGACTAAAATCCATGGAACCATAAAAAGCAACTAAACCGTATATAACAGCTCTTAAGTCTTAAGTAATTGAATGAAACATGCCAAAGATGCCTATATGTCAAATTGCCAATATTCAAGCAATCAAAATTATAACCGGGAGTGTCTTTTCTTTCTCTATTTATCTTTCTACTTCGCCAATGACAGATGCCTGTTAGTTTGAATCTCCAAGCATAAAATATACACTTGGTTCTGAATTACAACAGCATATGCATCATGACCTAAAAATTAACACCCTCTACCCAAAAATAAGTGAATAAACAAATGAACAAGCAACGTAAAGGTAGTAAAATTAGCAACAAAGTAAACAAGCAATATAAACTCAGCAGGTTAAGATCATTAAAAAAAAAAAAAAAAAACCCTTAATCAAATCACAGGGAAACAAAATATTTCAGAATAGTTAATCAATCAACAAACTGAAGTAGAGTTTACGGGCTTGATAACTTTTGATTGGAGTGGTTAAGTTATTTTTTTTAAATAAGTTATTGAGTTTAATAAATAAATAAGAGTTGTAGACTTTTGGAGTTAGTACCAAAAAAATTTTTTTTAAAAAGGGCTTGACTTGTTTCGAAAGCCAACGATGGAGAAAGAAAGGCAAACTTACAAAAGTTCGAGAGGAAGAGGGAATCGGGAATATGGGGTTTAGCACGTCTGGAGGGGAATTTTGGAGCTCAATTGATTTTGAGGAATTTTGAGGATTAAAAACAAGAGGGAATTGGTGTAGGGCGGGTTTGGAAATACATTGAGGGCGGGTTTGGTTTAATCAACTTTCTTAGGAAATTTTATGTTTGGTCTGAACTTTCTCAGAAAAAAGAATCGACGAAGACAAACTTACAAAATGAGGCCGATTAGTTCCAGGAAAATAAACTTTCCAGAACAATTCTTAATGGAATTATCAACGTAATTGGTTATAATTGCATATAATTGATTATTGTTACTTGAAAATAATATAAGCTCCTATATTTACAAACATAATTCCTCTATTTTAAAATAATAATTATTTTTTATTTTAATTCTATTTTAAAATAATTATTTTTTTATATTCTAAATTTTTTAAAATAAATATTTTTTATTTTAACTTCATTATTATCCTTTTACTTTAACCAATTATCTTATTATAAAAAATTTAATTTTATCTTTAATTTTTTTAAATAATATAAATAAACACATAAATTACCTTCCAATTCTCAATTAAAAAAAAAAAAACTTTTGGGACAAAGGGAGTAATTGGTTACAACATCCGAAAGCCTTTTTCAATATTTCATTTTTTTGGCATTTGTTTTCGAGAATATGTTCCTGTTATATAACAAAAATTATAATATATTATAATCTATTATGTCTCATTGGCTTTAAATAATTATTTTTCAAATAAAACTATTAAGAGTTTAATTAAATCAATATTTATTACTTTAAAATTTTTAATTTAAAATCATAGTAAAAAGTTTAAATTCTTATAATATTAAATAACGAATCCTCTGACCAGTGTTTTTGGACCCGGCCCGGCCCGGCCGGTTGAACCGATTGAACCGGACCCAGGCTTGAAAACGGGCCGGGTCAGTACCTTAGCCCGTTTTGCAAGTTCACCCGTTTTGGCCCGCTGGTGCCCGCCCAACCCGCTGAAACCGCCTAACCCGCTGAAACCGCCTAACTCGCTGGGTTGAATGAATTTGGGTTTTTACAATTTTACTTTTTAATGACTTCATGAATTTTTGGTTTTTACTTTTTAATGACTTCACTTAATATTAATTAAATTTTTTAATATAATTATCCATACCATTAACTTTAATCAAAAATTAAAATCTCACCTCAATTAAAAAAACAAAACTCTCGGAGGATTACGGCTTCTTATTTCACTGCAAATTGCAAAAGCAAAATAAACTCCAAAAGAAATTAGAAACAAAAGAGAGCAGGGAAGAGAAGAACAGCACCACCACCAGACCACCAGTACTACGCACTAGTCACCACCGCCGGCCTTTCCCTGCCCGATCTCAACCACCTCCGTCTGCGGCTTTCAGTCCTTTGTCTCTGTGCAGAAGCAAAACTAGAAAGCAAGCCCTTCATCTTTATGCAGAAGCAGCCAGAAAGCAGAAAGAAAACAGAGCAGCGAAGTCACCGTTGGCCAACTACCTCCCCGATCTCAACCGTCGGCGACTCCACAATTGCCTCCCCGGATCTCAGCCCTTCGCGTAAGGATGATAAGCTACCTCTATCCCCTTCCTCACCTCTGTTCCGTCGGCTAAAACATCGGCACCCATGGCGACTTTGCCGTTGACGGGGATCGGTGGGTACAGCCGCATGGTCTCGTAGAGACAAGCGTGGGTATAAACCATGTCTTTCACTTCTTTGAAAATCGGCGAATTGGATTTCTCCTGGATTTCTTTCAGAATTTCCAATTCAACTTCTAGGTGTTGAGAAATCAACCAGAAAAACCACGTTAGCGCCGTCGATGTTGTGTCCCTGCCGACAAGAATGAAGCGGATGACTATGTCAGTGACGAAGTTTTCATTAGAATGGCCGGAGCTCAAGAATCGCGATAAGA